TAAACCAGTTAGAAAATTTCTTACAGCATTGCTTTCAGCAGAATTTAAAAATTGTATCGCCTGATTCGGATTTTCAGTTTGATAACAAGATTTTAATTGTTGCAGGATCATTGATACTCGGCTACCGTAATCGACTACTGATTCGTCGGGATGTTGAGTTACTTTAGCAAGTTCCCCGTGCAATTGTGACGAGGAATAAACTGGTGCAAATCTAGTTCTTAAGACTGCTAACAAAGATTCTATATCATTATATTCTCCACTTAATGCCACCCTCAATGCAGGTCCGACTAATTTATTTTTTATCATTTGAACAAGTCCATATTCCGCGGTAGGAGAAATCATATTTTTAGCGTGCATGCAACTATTAGCAAACTGTAGGACGGGCATATTTTTTCCATCAAACGGGAGAATTGTCTCGGCTGCATCTCGCAAACTTATATACGGCGCATTAGCTCTACGATTCGCGTCGGTTGCGTTAATATTCATGTCGCCTATCTGTCTAGTTAAATCATTTATTCCGTCTGTAGCCATTTTTATTTATTATAATTACTTATTCGTTAAAAGGAAATGTAAAAGTTCGTAATATTGGCAAGTTCGCACTTACATGTATCGTATGATAATGAAAAGAAGAATGATAGTTATGCGCGACTCCATGAAGCCTTGTCCACACGCTCGCAGCCTTATCCCTGCAGCTTCTCTCCGGAAAAGATCCTTTTCTCGTTAAAGTAGAGACAGGATGTTGTAGAATGAATACAGCAATCGGCTTCTTTTTCCGCTACTGGCTCACTCAGCTTCCAGAGAATTGAAGTGTTGTCCCAAGGGATGCTTTCCAGATGTCCAATCCTTTCAGCTTCCCAGTCGGGATTGCCTTTTTGGCAATCCCACCGCTGCCACCAAAAATTTCAACTTGTGACGTCCTGGGTGATGCGAGGTGGCTTCGATCCGACAGAACGTCTCCGTTGATGGGTTCTTTTTCTTGCAGTTAAGGAGGTAAAACCCCAGGATAATTAGCTGTTGGTCGGCGATGTAGATTATGGCTCCTTGGATCCGTCAAAGGTAGGTAATTCAATAATCTTCAATAATCTTTATCTTTCTTTTGATATAAAAAGTATGATATTTATTGTAGAACTTTTACGATACAAGTGGTTTATGTGGGAGGATGGAACAAGTATAAGATATGTGACCTTTCCTGGCTCGTTCCACACTCTCCGTCGAGAGGGTGAAAGATTCTGCTTTTATACAATTTTGGAAACGGTGGTGGGAGGTGACCACACCTCGTTACAATGAGTCATAAGGCGTTGTCTAGCGGATGTGAGTCTACTTCTAGGGGTGTGGCTCGCTAGCCAGCAATGAGTCATAGGGTGGTGTCTTGAAATTCATTACCTTATATGGTCATGCGTGGCGTTCTGCTTCGACATGGCCTTGCGGAGACTAGATTCACTCGAATGAGTCATACAGGTGACTCGTCTGAATTCTATTTTTATTCTCTAGTCTAACGGCGATTTGTATTGAGAGCGATACTTCTTTTCATTATTAAATTTCATTATGACTTTTATCATGAAGAAAATATTTAATATTTGAATAGTAAAAAGTGCAAATATATGCTGAATATTATTTAAATTTCTTTAGACATACTTTACATACAGTAGAATAATTTAATAATACAATTCAAGTCATTATTAGCATGTCTAAAGTGTAAGAGATATTGCTCTCTTTGTCTAATAGTTAATATGGTATATCTGACTCTCTCTTTCTTCCTTTCAGATCATACAATACTCGCATCTCGCTCGGATTCGTGTTCCTTATGCTGCGCATAATACAATTTTATCTTTCTCGAATTCGTGAGTAACGGTTCGGCGCTTGACATTCGATATTTATATTAATTTTAGTAAATATATATATATTTGTTAATAGTAATATTAATAAACGTGATGTTAGCGGTGTTAATAATGATTCTAATATCAGGTTAATAATATATCGTGCAGATAGAATTGGTCAGCATTCTCATTAGTACAGGAAATTAATGAAATTAATTCGTTTATATATATATATATATATATGTAATAAGATTTTATTATTTTTATATCTCACGAATGGTTGGGAATTTGATGGGAGTGTATAGGAAATATATTGTAGGACTTTCACTGAAGTATAATATCGCGTTGGAAAATTTTATTGTTGATATATGTATTTGTTAATAACAATTTATTAATTAAATAAATTGGTACTCTTTAATTCGCGTATTGATATTATTATGTTCTCTTTGTTTAAGAGGTTTTGAATTTCTAATATTATCTCGTTTATGAACATTCGTTATTTTATTGTTATAAATATTTCGTAAATAAACAATTGCAGAAATAAAAGTTATAATCATTTTTCGTAGGTCTACTGATGCAGAGTTTATGTACGCGGTTTAAATTTGTATTTACCAGAACGAGTTTTATGTTCATAGTATATATTATTGGTAAGTATGGATTGTAATGCAAACGGAGGTATATATTTTGTTAATTAATTAGGTGTAGCAGATCGCTAACAATTATGTTTTATATACTATTTTCAAGAAGAGGTTTTAAGCTAATCAGGAGTATGAAAAAATAATTTTTAGTCATCATTATTTTGGAATATATTAAAGTTTTAATTGCTTGGTTCCCGAACGATGCGTTTTGCGTATATGTAGGTATATGTTAACCGCATTATTTAGGGACATTTTCCTTATAACGGGTGTCTTTTTACTTGAAATTTTATAGCGCTTTTATTAGAAAAGTGACAAGGTTTTGACTTATATAAAAGTTGTTATATATGATCTGAAGTATAAGTTAAAAATATTTATTGACGTGGTCAATAATTTGTTTATAATTGTTTATAAAAGTAAATTGCAAAAATAGATGATTATGTAGTAAATGTTTTTCTACCAAACGATTCTAACGATTATTCCGTATACACTTATATATTGTTCTTATTTCAAACTATTCGTTTTCTATTTTATTTTAATTTATTAAGAATTTATTATGGCTATCCTTGTCTTACACCTTGTGAACTGGTATTAAACTATCCTCGTCTTTCATGGAGTGAATGTTCAATTTAAATCTCATTTAATAGTTTAATTAATTTAGATAGAAAATCGGCGTTAACGTTACTGGTGTTTAGGAGTATGAGAGATTGTATTTTTATTATAATAATTAAGTGTCAAAATTTTCGTTCAGAAATGTAATTTTTCAGCTTTAAAATGTATAAAAGACTAAAATATTAATGTAAAAGTGATTTGGTCTTTGTAAGTCTAAAGGGTAGGAAATTCAAAATGGCGGATGTGAAACTTTAATAATTTATAACTTGAGAACGGTAAGAGATAAAAAGATGGGGTTTCTTTTGTTGTGTTCAGATAATTAAGGGCATTATTTTAGGTTGTTTAAAATTTCTGTGTTTTATGGATTTCCATAATTTTTAATTATATCTCGGAATTGAGAAGAGATATAATGTGGGGGTTTTTGTTAGGTTACTTGACATGCTCTGCTGAGTATCTGCGGTGATTTTATTTATCATCTTTAATAATATTTTTATGATAAATTTTATTGTTAATTAGTTTATTTTGAGAGATACAATAATGGTTTATAATCAAAAGTTATTTGACTTTTTGTGATAGTTCCAATAATCACATTAACTAGGTCTGTTAATAATATAATTTATTTGTTTATAACAATCATGTTTGAAAAATTGCTAATGAGATAATTATTATTTTAGCGTGATAATGTTCCTTAGGCACAAAGGTTATGTTCTTATAAATAATCTGCTTTTAATTTATTTATTTATATTTTATTTTAATTTTCTGAATTTATTCTTATGGATTATGCATTTATTCATGTGTTAAATTGAATTTATATTGCATAAAAGATCTCATAAAGCTTGTAATATTCATTTACGATCAATTTTAGTGACTCTGGGGAATTTTAACAAGCAATTGTCCAAAAGTTTATAGTGCGATTCATGCAAATGGGGCGTAAGCTTGAAAGGGTACCTTAAGGCAGCCATGTTCTCTAGGCTTATGTCTACTGCTTTAAGAACGCGTATTCGCATCAGCTGAGTGTTTGTTGTGACAGCTATTTTAAAGAATAATTGTTATATTATAATGTTGTTTTCAGATGCTGGGGACTTCTAGCAATGAAGATGGAAAATTGAAAAATTTATGCGGGTGGAATATAGCGGTGATTATACCGTCAGACGTGACACTGGCCAGCACCGTCGCCGCGGCATGTGACACAGTGCGATATGCCCGTGACGCTCTTATGGCAACCACCCGCTAGACCCGATTCAACTGGGCCCTGATGCGGGCGGAGCCAGCCGCCCTGGGCGCCCAAATTGGGGCGCCGTAGAGCGCCACGGACTGCACCACCGCGACGTCTAGCCGGCGAGCATGTCCGCTCGCCCCCCCCCCCCAGGTTCGGCATCAGCCGAGCCAGGCTATTGGCTGTAGCCATCATTCTAGGGGCTATGCGAGCGAAATGCTCGCCAAAGCCCCAGGCGCCGTCCAGCCAGAGGCCCAGCAACTTTATGCAGGCCCCTACCGGAACGCGGACATCCTCCACTTTAATGTGGACTCCGGGCGGTTTCCCCATAGAACCGTCGTGAAAAAAGACGGCCTGGGTCTTTTGGGAAGCCACCCAGAGTCCCAACCTCCTTATCGCAGACACCACGCACACCACTGCAACATTAGCCCTTCGCCGGGCTTCCTCCCATGTTTCCCCCTCCACCCCCAGAAAGGTGTCGTCTGCAAAGGCGTTCAACCAGCACCCGGGGGGGAAAAGGGTTCTAAGTGCGGAGTCGTACCCCAGATTCCACAATGGTGGACCAAGCACTGACCCCTGGGGTACGCCCCGCAAAACCGGCCTAACCATCAGGTTACCGTCCCGGTCCACATACAGCAGGTTCCTGCCCCGGAAGTAGTCATAGAGGACCGCTATCAAGTAGGGAGGCACGTCATGATGTATCAACGCCTCCCTAATGACCGGCCAGGGCAGGGAGTTAAACGCATTCTGGATGTCGAACGAGACACCCAGAACTACCCTGCCCTCTTCCGCCGCGGCCTTCAAGAGGGCTCGGACCTTTGCGATCGCATCCATGGTCGATCTGCCCTCCCAGAAGCCGTACTGGGCCTCGCTGAGGTCCGGACCCTCCCGGGACAGGTGCCGGACGAGACGGGCAGCGATTACTCGCTCGAACAACTTTCCCGTCTCGTCCAGCAAGCATATTGGACGATAACCCGACGGCTGGTCGGCCGGCTTCCCCTCCTTGGGGAGGAGGACCAGCCTGGCCCTCTTCCACTGGCTGGGGAACCGGCCTTCCCTCATGCACCTAGTAAAAAAGGGCCCTGAGGTGTTCGGCCAGCTCCCCGGTGGTCCAAATCCACGCCTTTCCAGAAATGCCGTCAGGCCCGGGCGCTTTCCCCACCTTCAGCCTTCTGGCGGCAGCCTGGAGCTCCTCCATCGTGACCCCGAATTTCTTTTCGTCCCACTCCACGGGAGGCGGAGCGGGTACTCCATTGACTCTCTCCCCTTCGTCGTCAAGGAAGAGAGTCTCCACGACTTCCTCGAGGAATTCAGGGTCCATAGACTCTGTCGTGGGGGGCGCCCAGGGTTTTAGTTTGTTCAAAACTATCCTGTATGGGCGCCTCCACGGGTCTTCTTCCAGTGTTTGGAGGAGCTCCTCCCAGGCGCGATCCTTGGCCACCTTTACCGCCTTAGAGAGGGCCCGCTTGGCGGAGCGGTAGCCCTCTCCGGCTTCTTTCTTTGCCAGGGGGTCTTGTCGGGCCCTTGCCCTAAGATAGACCCTTCTGGCATGGACGGAGGAGCGCCGTAGCTCGGCGATCTCCTCCGTTTACCAGTACATTCCCTTGCGTGGGATCGGGTTGGATCGGGGCATCGCAGCATCACATGCTTGCCTCATGATAGCTCCGATCCTTTCAGCCTGATCTTCCACGCTATTCGCTGCATTCCGCAGAACATTGTCCTCCCATAGTGCAGTTAGCGTCGCAGCACGAAACAAGTCGCGATCCGCCTTACGCCACTGCCATCGCAGAAATTTCTCGCGTGCTGCTCTTCGACGTTCCACAGTCTCACGAGGGGTAGCCATGAGGGAAAACTCCACATACTCGTGGTCCGACCTTGTCTCCACATCCTCAACCACCCCCCATCCCCCAGCTCGGCGCAATCCCTCCGGGTTCACCATCGTGATATCCACAATGGATCCCCCATTGGGTCTTATGCACGTCCATCTATTCCCTCGATTGAGAGAAAGCAAGTTTCTCTTCGCCATCCAATCTTCCACTTCACTCCCCCAAGCATTCGTGACCGGGGATCCCCACAGTGCCGATTTAGCATTGAGGTCCCCAGCCACGACAATCGGGGCGGGACCGAATCTGGTTAGACACATCCCTATTTGATTAAGGATGTCCCAAAATTCGGCCCTACTCCTATTAGGGGAGACGTAGGCACTGATGACCACAACCTGTCCCCATTTAACCGCAACGTAACCTTCGCCCGCCACTAGTTTAGTGCAAGGCTCGGGACAGGCAGTTTGCCTCCACGTTACCGCAGCAAGGCCACACCGACTTGACGCCCAACACGGGTGATTGTTAGGCACACGGTACGGTTCCGCCACAATACCCAAACCGCTACCGCGCTTTGCCATGGACTGTAGGAAAAGATCCTGGGCGGCGCGGCAGCGGTTCAGGTTAGCTTGGAGAACTTTGGGTATGGATGTATAGGCCATTACTGGTCATCATTCAGGCCCTCCGTCTCCATCGCCTCTTCTACCCCTTGTTCTGTTGGAGTTTGTTCAAGGGTTTGTCCAGGGGTTTGTTCTACCCCCACATCCTTCTCTGGTTGGTTATCCGCCTTCCTACCGGCTCGTTTCCCTTTCGCCCTTTTCCTATCCCCCACTTCTGGGGAAACAGTTGCAGACTCACCAATGTCCTTCGAGGAACGCTTAGTCGCTTGTCTGACTCCTTCCCTAGTAGAAATTACCCTCATCTCTACGTCCACCGAGCCACTCTGAGTAGGCTGAGTAGACTGCGTCGATCTGGCACCCCCCATCCCGGTTTGCGTTTTTTTCTCGCCGAGGAGTAGGCTTTACTCCCAGCTCTGTGATTAGAGGGTTTCCCCAAATCGGCGCAAACCGGGCATTTCACCTCCCCACTACAGTTTTTTGCCATGTGTCCCTCCTCGTTATCGTCGACAGGAACCTTTTTTTTTTTTAACGTCAGGAAAACCCTCATGGGTACCCCCTCCCCGGCGGTGGGGAGGACGGTTATGCCGGACTCTTACCGGCTAAAAACCTGACGTGTGGCCCTACCATGGTGTCTCGCAAGTACCTCCCGGGAACTGGTTATCATTACTTCCAGGAGGCCTTCACCGAACCCTATCCGAGGGCTCCCTACCCGCCCGAGGAGAACCAGAGGAGCGGGCAAATACTTCGACCTTTCCCAGCCCCCTTTGGGCCCCCCGCCACGCACGTCCGATGGCGCACGCACGGGGGATACCTAAGCGGTGACGGATACCACAATACCCGCCGCCGCGCCCCCTATTACGGGGACAGGGTCGGGGCTCGAGTAACCACCCTCGAGCCCCGGCCCCCCGCAGGCCGCAAGAGTGGAGGGGTCCTCAGGCCCATCCCCCCCCAAGGCCCGCCTCCTCCGAGGGCCCAGGCCACGAACCTTGGTTCCCAGCCCGAACCCTCCCGGCGACCCGAGGGAGCGCAAGTGGAGGAAACCCCTTAGGGAATCTCCCCAAGCCCCCTCGGACCGCCGAGCTACTCTCATCTGGAGACAGCCGAGGAAGAGTGACCCCTAGAGGTCGACTCTCCGTCCGCCATCTCTACCTCCGGACAAGCCGTGGCTTGTTCGGAGGATGAGGGAGGAGGAGGAACCACCGTCACCGGCGGCCCTCGTCCCCCCTTCCCCCCAGGTAAGCGCAGCCCGCCCCTCCCATCAAATGCCTAGCAGGCAACTTCGAGTCCGCGCAAAGCGGACATCTCGGGGCCGCCGCAGGGCACTCTCTGGCCCGGTGGCCGCTAACTCCGCAGCGATAACAAAGACCGCTACGGTCCACCAGGGAGGTGCATAGGGCCCCGACATGACCCACGTCAAGGCACCTAAAACACCTCAATGGGCGAGCATGGAGCAGCCCCACTTTAAGGCTACTCCACCCCACCCTTAATCCCTCCTTTAAGATGGTGTTTGCTACACCCACTGGGCATTGCGTCCACGTCACCCCCATCCCTCGAGGGTGATGAACTATCTCCCCGACAGTCACGTCACCCTTATTACAGCGACCATCTGCGGCAATGGCAGCCTTTACCTCCGATGAGGTGACGGAGTCATCCAGACCTGTCAGGCGCAATCCGACGCGCCTGACCGGCGTGGAGACCTGCACCCCAGAACCCTCCAGCGCAGCACCAACCCGCCGCGCTAGGAGGTCCGCCCTCTCATCTTGGCCATCACCAGGGACCTCTATCACGAGGCCCCCAGTGATAGCCCTTCGGCAGTTAATCCGCTCTATCCCCAGGTCAGCGAGAGAGACTTTCTCTCTCGCCGTCCTGAGGACCTCGGCATACGTCGCCAGCGACCCCCCAGGGACAATGACCGTCACCGCCGCCGTTTTCGGGGGAACCGGCAACGCTGCCTTGGCCCTCTTTTTCCTTCCCGTGGACGGCGGCACACGCGCCGCCCCCCCAGCCCCACCCCCACGGGAATCTCTTCCCGCGAGCGAGGAAACAGGAGCCGCCGCGCCGCCACCGACCACCCCTCCCGCCTCACCGCCGAGGAGGGAGACGGTCTGGCGGGAGCCATCCTCTCCAATGAGGAGTTACCCCCCACGCCAGGAGGGGCCCCCCTTATTCTTCTAACAAGGGAGCGTACCTCCCTTGTCAGAGCTTCCACCTTCTTATCGAGGGCTTCGAGTCGTGGATTTTCGCCACCATCGAGACTTCGATCGCCGAATGCCCCTTTGCCGGGAGCATCGGTGCCTCTATTTTTGACTCAAGGGTTCACTTGTATAGCGATCCCTCGAGTCATCTTCTAAGGAGGCAAGCCGGGAGGCGCCGGTACTGACGCGTCCCCACCCGCCTCCATTGGAGTCGACTCTGATGCCTTCTCCCTCATCAAACACTCCACTTGAGCCATCAATTCGAGCTTCTCCTTCCGCTCTTTTTCCACCTCATTTCTCGCCTCTAACAACTTTCTCGCCGCCCCCCTAACTCTATCTTTAAGGGCACACACCACCTCGTCAATGCAGTTCGCATATCCCTCTATCTGATCATTTATCATTAAGACCAATTCACCATCCTCATTCTGGTCCAACTCAGGGACAACAAGAAGTTCATAGGTGATGAATCTAGATCTTTTTACTACCTCTTTCAATGTCATCTCCGTTATCCTCTCCTCGATAAGTCCGGGGAACTGAACGAGGTTTTCGCGAGAGCATTTCCTTAGATCTTTCTCCCTCCTCCTTATTGAATCCTTTCTTCTTCTCTCCATTGCCTCGCTGTCCCCCATCGTTATCCAACCACTCCTCATTTCAAATGGTAATCTCTCCAGACTCACCACTGGTGAGAGGGATACACCCTTATCCTCAACTCCCTTCGACCTCTCATTGGTAGCGATAGTCAATTCCTCTGACAAACTCGCTTTTATTTCGCTTTGTAGCCCATTACTTGATGACGACGGGAGGAAGGCTGGGCCTTGTCTTACGACACCCTCCTCTCGCCGGTCCCTGAGTGTCCGGTCACTCTGGGGCGGTAATAACTTCCTCTTTTTAGAACTCATCATATTTTCTAAAAATGGTTTTATTTCGGAGTGACCTTCTCCTAGGCTGGTCTCCCGGCCTCTCGAGCCCAGCCTGCCCGAGCTCGGGTACCCCGGGCTTGCCATGCCCGTATCGGGGACGCCCCCCAGAGGCCCCGAAGGACTTCCCAAGGCCGCCCCCGACCCCTGGGGGGACGGTTGGGAGAGCAAGCTCTCCTTCACGACTCCGTCCAAGCCGGGCGGACTTTTTATAGAGGCCGCCTACCTCGCGAGTCCCGTGGGACTCCCCGGTCTCCGCCAGTCCGAAGACTGACGAAGATTACGGTGCTGCTGTGCTCGGGTACCTCGGGTTCGCAAAACCCGTATCAGGGGTGGCCCGGAAAGCCCTCAGATGGGTCCCCGGAGTCCGCCCCTGATCTCTGAGGGGAACCTTGGAACCGGGTGACAAGTCACTCGTTCCAACGTCGAGTTCCGATTGCGCAGCAGTCAACTTCGAGGCCCAGATGAGCGAGCAGAGGGCAGAGGTGCCAAGGACGGGCGTGATCGAGCCGACGAGGCCATTGACACAGGAGGCCAATCAGGGGGAGCCGACCGTCGAGGAGGACACCGAGGTCGCGCAGATCCTCCAGTTGATACCGGAGGGTGTAGCAGAGGCAATCATCCTCCAGGAGGGAGCCGAACAGCCCGCTGGAACAGGCGAGGTTGTCGTCGAGGTCATCAGCCAACCACAGGCAGCGGAGGAGGTGATCGAGACGGAGATGCCCCAGAGCCAATCACAGCTCACGGAACTTTAAACCGTGGCTGTCGAAACTAAACTCACCCTCTTTTATTATATTTATCCATGAGCATTTAAATTTTGTATTAGATTTTATTTTATCACTTTTTACTAACCAATTAGCGTAACGCATGCCAAAGAGCAAGTTTTCAATTGAGTTTATATTCGATTTTATTATTTTTGAGTTTATTACTTATTTTATATAGTTTGATAGTGACAAGTGCCAATGAGCACGGAGATATTATATTAATAGAGTTTTTTATAAAGTTTATTTAGAAGTTAGAAAGCGAATGCGCGAATGGCGTAAGCGAGCGCCAAATATGTATAAGAGACCAATTAAAACGAGACTGACGATAAAAAGACTATATTAAATTAAGAACACACATACTGACCAATCCCAACAATCCTCACACCGAAAAACCATTATTCAATTAATTAGAGTCATTAGAATCATTAAAGTTATTAGAATCAGTAGAGTAGAGAAAAGAGCCAATAGGAGGCCAAGGTCATAGTTTCAGAAGGGATGGATTCGGATAAATTCCGTATTGTAGTATTAGCATTTATTTTCATTGTATTTGCAACAGCAATCATATGCATATTGTTATTAGCCTATAAACAACGGGTGAAAGCAGAACCTTAATTTCAAACTTAGAACAACCAATCAGAATCATGCGGCTGAAGGAGTACTTAGTCGTAACGTTAATAATCTTTATTCCCTTAATAATATCCTTCCCAGACGTACAGACAGTTACATTGATTTACACGCTTTACACATTGTATATTTTATTGCTAAGTATCGATATCGATCCGAGAGTGATCGTTGACGAATGATGAGCCGCGAATATAGATTTCACGAGAATGGACCAATGGGGTTCGAGATAGACGGTTTCACGTTCGTTACATTAACATTAGACGGTTTGACAGCAAAACGGTCATGTCGACCGGAGACGACCAATGGGCAGCGACCCAGTCGATTTTATTAAGAATAGCGTTAATTTCGATTGATTTGACAGTAGCAAACATTCTCGACGCAGTAACAGCCAATAGGAACGATTCCTGGCACATTGATTTTATTTTGCAAGTTTTCAGAGTAGTTTACGATTTTGCGAGGCCCAGAGCCAATGAGAGCGCGAGGCGCAACCTTTTTACGTGATCGCGGGAAACCGACCAATGAGAAGCCAGAATGGCTCGCCG